CCTTTCTCCCCAGGTTTTTGGCATGTAGTCATAGCCTGTGACGCGGGAGTAATGGAGTCGCTGAGTGGCAGGTGCTGACAGCTTCTGCAGTCCCAGTAACTGCTCCTTTTGGGGTCATTTGCAATTCTGTACCTCTCAATGCCACAGCTCTCTGGGGGAAGGTTGCGCTGGATACCGGGACTGCCTCGGAAGGTACACGTGTGTTTCTGCAGGGCTTGGCTGTGCTCTGGCTGCTGGGGAGGGCTGGTGAGGCTGCATGGCTGGGTACCCGGGCTGGGCAGCGCAGGGGCAGCTCCTGCTGACATCCCTCCCTCCCTCCGTCCTCCTCTTACTCAAACTGCCTTTCTGGAGTCCATCCCGTGCTCTAACACATGTGAGAGCGGCTCACAAAAAAGAAGTGGCTGGTTAAGAGGTTCTGATGTGAAAACAATGAAATACGCCGCTGGAGTTTCTGAGAAACTCAAAGGCTTTCTGTGGAATTTCAGCCTCTCTATTGCCCTTTTGAAAAAGCAGATTTTAATTACAATTAAATGTGTGTGTTCACACTCGGTTATTAGTCTTGTACATTTTTCTGTGTGGTTCTGGTGAGTTCAGTGAAAATCTTTGTTGTTGGCTGGCAGATTTTAGCAGAAGTTTATTTCTGTAGGCTCACTGCCCGCTGTGGATTTGATCATTGTTCTGGTTCTCACAGCCTTCGAGCTACGCTCCAGGAGAAAAATACAGATTTGTCACCAGGGCCTCCCACTAGAATCTAATTTTAAATTTGCAATCTGTTGTCTTGTGAGGTGCTTCAAATTAGGTTGGAAATTCAGTATTTTTCAGATATGCTCCTGGAATCTGGTGGTCCAACCTTTTGCAGGTTCAAGAGTTAGTAACATAGGTTTAATTGAAATGAGTATTCTGGTTTTGTAATTATTTTAATAAATAATTTAATATCAGGGTAGGGGAAGAGGAAGGAAAATTACTATTTTTAAAGGAAATTATGTTCTCTGAGTGGGCCATCATCAGTGGTCATCTAGAATGTGATATAATTTATGTGTAACCGTTTCATGTAAGAGTCATCCAGCAAAACCTCAGCAGTTCAGCTAGAGGTCAGTCTGCTTTTCCCACATACCCAGTGTAGGGAACACTGTTTTTCCTGCAAAATTCATGCTCTCCCTGCTGGCAGCCTAATCTTGATGTCAGTCTGAAGTTTAAACTTTCAGAAATCATTTATCAACCCTCTGTCTGTCTCTTGATGTGCAAGCTGGCTTAGAGGTGACTTTATTGAAGTCGCCACATTTCTGACACTTTCCCTGCACCGAAGCAGAAAGGAGCAGGTTTTCTGGGAAGGAGAAAACCTTTCCCAGCAGGGCCAGCATGGCCACCTCTTTGGGGATGTGGAGGCAGGAGTTGCCACCCCTCATTTTCCTGGCTCGGGCTGCAGATACGAATCTGCATCTTCCGCGTGCGTCTTCGGCGAGCGCCTGAGTCAGGGCGCTGGTGCCTCTTCCAGGAGACGTGCCTGTCTCCCTGCTTTGCTGTTCAAGCCTCTCCCTCCCAGAGAGAGAGAGAGAGATTTCATCAGAGGCCCTCTATTCCCACAAAAGTTTGGGTTCTGATGAATCAACGTTTTCTGCTGAAGAACGCCCAGCCAGTTGCGCTCGCAGCGCGCGGCCCCGTGCTGGTCCTGCGAGGTTCGGGGTCACTCACAGCAGATTCCTGACACCACCACAGACCTGACTAAAGCATGGAGATGTGTCACACTTGATCTGTGTCGTATCCTGGTGGTACCTTGATGGGTCTTTAATGGTGGCCTTTGCGTTTGGCAGCCCAGCTAACAAGGGGAGCCTTTGTCCTACCAGCACTTGCGTGCAGCTCCCATTAACATTACTCATTTTCTTAATTTGATACAGATTTTTTTCATTGAGTGTGCTAAATGCAGTTAAGCCACAGACAGGCAGCATCTGGCAGTCGTAGCTGAGCACTTTGAGACGCTGTTGCCCCAGGGTGTCTGCTGTGGGAGAGCGAGGCTGGGGCTCCCCTCCCCTGCCCAGCTCCCGCTCGCTGGGGATGCTGGAGTCTGTAGCAGTGCCAATTCCCCTCTCAGGCTGCCTTTCCACATCTGCCTGAGCTCACCTCGCAGCTCCCTGCTGCCAAAAAACGAGGAGGTGTCACTCTCCAGATGCACGGTCCCCTCCTGTCCCCACTGTGTCCCCAGACAGGCGTCCTTGTGCTGCCTCTGGCACGTGCCAGGCCAACTCGCTAGCTCAGCACAAACTAACTAATAAGCTCTTCTTTTTGTTGTTTTTTCTTTCCCCCCCAGATTTATTTTCTGCTGTTTTAGTGGACTCTGCTGCACAGCACTTGGTTTGGTTCAGGGTAGCTGGTGGAAATGCTCAGCCAGCGATGCAGAAGGCAGGCAGAAATGGGGTGAGAAGGGAGGATTGAGGGGTCCCTTTCAGGGGACCCCCCTCAGCCTGACCTGGTGGGGCTGACTGTCCCACCCAAGCTGTGTCCTGCGTGTGCCAGGGGAGATGGTGACAACCTTGGGCGATGGCACTGTCTTGCATGGCTGCAGCTGGACCATGCAAGTCCTCCTGCACCCACTGGGCAGCGTTCCTGCAGCCTTGCAGCTGGGAATTCAGCGGGATTAGGCAGGGCCTTTCCAGGGCGCAGGGGTGAGGTGGGGGCTCGCTGACAGCCGCTTGTGGATTTGCAAACTCCTCACCCAAAGCGCCAACCCACTGAATTAAAAAGGGTCGGCTCTTTGCTTTGAAGTCTGACACTTCTCGCCAGTCTGTAGCAGATACTTCATTGTGTGAAATCACTCCCTGAGCATTCCTTCTGTGAAGAGAAGACTTCCCTCCTTCCAGGAGAGTGTTATTTCCTCACAGGATGCAGCCTGAGCTGCTGCTCCTTTCCTCACCGAGCCCATTTGTGGTCCTGTTGCTTTTCTGGCGTGGGGAAATCTTGCCTGGTGTGGCTGGAAGGTAAAGAACCATTGCAGGTTTCAAGAGGGCTTTTAAAACTGCTGATTCTCCTTAGGGTGAGAAGGGATGGCTGGAGATGGGATGGATGGCTGGAGGCTGGGGATAAATGGCTGTGCAGCCAGTAGAAATCCCCCCTGGATGGAAGTGTGGTCAGCAGGAACCAAAGCAGGGAAAGCATTGCCCTGAGGGGGTTTCTGCTGCAGGACAGGATCATTGAGGGCTTGTTTTAGATATCTGCAGAAGAGAACATGCAGGTTTCGTGCTTTAAAATGTTCCATAGCCAAAAGCTGGCTGATTGTTTTTCAGTCTGTATCAAAGAGCTGTAGCTCTTGGGAGATAATGAACCCTTGTCTAGGGATTGATAAAGCTGTCTTTTGATTTTTTGTTTTAAGATTTAAACCTGCCCTTTATTCAGTGCTTTTATTTTTCTAAACAAGTCATGGCAGCCAAAGGGAGTTCTGCCATTCATTTCAGCAGATGTAGGGCATTTCCTCTGTAGTTTACTTCACCTGCAATTGTATTTGTGTTCAATGCAGAAATGCCCAGATATTTATGGTGTTGTCTGTTGCCCCAGCACTGAACAGACTTCTAGCCTCAGCCATGAGCAGCTTTGCTGGGCAGAGGAGCGGAGGCACAGTCCTCTTGCTGTGGTCAGAAGTGTCAGTGCAGAGCTCAGTTCTGCCGTGCTGTCCCGTTGTTTAGTGCCATCAGTTCCTCACTTTCCCTGTGTTTGTGTGGGGCTGATTCACTTCTGTGCAGCAGCAATTGTGTGTGTTTAGATAGTGAGGGAAAATACGTGGTTGCATTCATCCTGCCAGCATCTGGTGCAGTACCCACCAGCATCCTGGCAAAGGAGAGGAAATTGCCCCAAGAAATTAAAAACTCCAGATTATTTTGCTGTCAGGGCAGCTTTTTTATTTTCAACCAAAACTGATGGAAATGCCTCAAAACAAAGAAGTTCTGTCTTGGAATTTCTTTTCAAGACTGATAGAGTGTTTTTCTCTATGTAGTTGTCTCATGTGTAATTCAGGATCTCCTGTTTGATTTTGAACTTTGGCATTTACTTTTCTTCTTCTTCTTCTTGCTGTCAGGCCAGAGGGGAAGGACCCAATACTACTGATAAAATATTTCTGACATTTGTTGAGTGAGATCACAGACCTCAAAGTGTTTCCCAAGGTTGAATCAGATCATCACTCCCACCTCCTGGATGGGAAACCTGTTCCACGGCGGGACGTGCACAGCTGAATAATGCAGGAGGCTGGGCTGGGGCTGGGGACACCAACCCCGTCCCTGCGTTCCAGCTCAGATCAAAGAGCTCAGATCTGCTTATCTGCTTCAGAGGGAGTGGGAAGGAGAGGTTATTTTTGTATAGTCTGAGTCACTCATGCTAATTTATTTTTCATAATATGGCTTTCTTGTGGGGGACTCTCCGTACCTGCTTAATGTTGCACAGTTTTTTTGTTCCAGAAATCAAACCTGTCATTAGCTCGCTGCCAAACGGGTGGGTTTGTACTTTGCTGTTTGGTGCTTCGCTTTGCAGTTCCTAGCCAAAAAAAAGGTGAAATCTCAGCTAAAGGTGTACATCCCTCTCCTTTTCAGCATCTGTTACTTGCAGATAAACAGGAGCTGTTGATTTTTTGAGTTTGTTGGCTGGAATGGCGATGCTGAGGGTCAGGTGAATGTGCACAGAGCTGAGATGGCACTGTGGTGCTAAAGCGGTTCCAGTTCACAGCGAGCTCCTGCGTTCAGTCCTTCGCTCTTCTGCACTCCTGGTTTGCACCGGCAGAGCTGTCTGGCTGTTCGCTACCTTCTGATTTAACTGTATTTCTAGGTTTGCTGGTACAGCCGCTGGCTCCCCTAATTAATTAATCTGTGGGGTTATTGCTGCAGTTACGGCAGTCCCTGCAAGAATCCGCGGTGTAGGTTTTGGGAGGGGCTCGGTAATTAATGAAACAAACCAGTGGCTGCTGTTGCATCGGGATGTCCACATGCCTCCCTGCCCTAACGGTGCCCGCTGTGTCCCTGCAGACCGTGACGCCATGGGCAACGCGGAGAGCCAGAGCGTGGAGCACGCCTTCTACGGGGACAAGCAGCCGGGGCTGGGCCGCAAGCACACGTCGCGCTCGCTGCGCCTCTCGGGCAAGGCCTCGCGCCGCACGCGCCACGCCTCCTCGGGCAAGATCATCCACCGCAACTCGGAGGTGAGCACGCGCTCCAGCAGCACGCCCAGCATCCCGCAGTCGCTGGCCGAGAACGGCCTGGAGCCCTTCGCCGCCGAGGCCAACCTGGAGGACTTCGGCAGCGCCATGTGGGTGGAGCGCGTGGACATGGGGCTGCGGCCCGTGTCCTACCACACGGACTCGTCGGTGACGCCCAGCGTGGACAGCAGCACGGTGCTGACGGCCGCCTCCGTGCACAGCATGCCCGACTCGGAGGAGAGCCGGCTCTACGGGGACGAGCCGCCCTTCCTGGCCGAGGGCGCCGGGCGGGCGCTGCGCTACGCGGGCAACGGCTCCGCCTTCGCGGACGCGGCCGGCTTCAAGAAGAAGCGCTCCAAGTCGGCCGACATCTGGCGCGAGGACAGCCTGGAGTTCTCGCTGTCCGACCTCAGCCAGGAGCACTTGACCAGCAACGAGGAGATCCTGGGCCTGGCCGAGGAGAAGGAGGCCGAGGCCGCGCAGGGCCCGCAGGCCGGCGGCAGCCCCCAGCCCCTGGCCGCCTGCCAGCGCGCCAACTCCATGAGTGACCTGTACTCCCCCAAAACCCCCGGCGCCGCCGTCAACGGGGGCCCCCGCAACGCCTTCGGAGGGTACTGCCGGAACCTGGTGTCCGACATCCCGGAGCTCGGGAGCCACAAGATGGCTTCGGTGGCCGCCGAGGACGCGCCCTCCTCCTACAGTAACTACAACACGCTGCCCTGCAGGAAGTCCCACTGCCTCTCCGAAGGGGCCTCCAACCCCCAGATGAGCCATAGCAGCAGCATGCAAGGCAGGAGGGCGAAAACCACCCAGGTAAGGCAGTTTTCTTCTGTGGTTTGGCATTTGCTGGGCTGGGTCTACAGATGGTTTTCTGGGTTCTCCCAGGCCGTGTTTTCCTTCAACACCCCTTTCTGAGCAGAGGACTGTGTCCAGGAGAGAGCTGAACTAGCCAGTCTCCAGAGCTGGCTCAATTCCATCACTGTCCCTTCTTTATCTGCAGCTCTCCTTGGACCTTTTGGATTCTTCCCTGCCTCTGAGAAGGGGAAATGTGCATTTGCCAGCAGAAGATTTCCCTGTGTGCTTTGCAGTGCTGATGGTTCCTTTTTTTCCAGGGTAGCTGCCAAAACTGATCGCTCCTCTGCAGAGTTGTGTCCCCCCTTTTGCCCACCCTCCTTGTTGCCCTTCCCTGCCTGCACTTGTGGCTGGAGGCAAAGAAAAAACCTGTCAGTGTTTCCCCTCCGTGCTAAACACTCACTGGGCTGAAATTTCACTTTACTTATTAGCTGATGTTGGTGTCTGTGCAAAACATCTCCCCAAAACAGCGCTGGCACTGCCAGGCCTGCTGTAAACTGAGAAATGCTGGGGCATGGAGATGTATGGGGAAGATGCTGCTTGTCTGAGCCAGGGACAGCAGAGACTCGAGAGAAGCTTTGCTGTCAGGTGCCCCTCCTGCACTCCAGACACCAGGCCTGTGATTTTGGGGCTTTCTTACATATTTCCCTGCTTTTCCCTGTCCTGCCTGAGGGAGTTCCTGCCTCAGGCTGCAGGCGGTGGTTCTGCTGGCAGTTCAGTGGCAGGTGACTTGTAGAGAGGGGCAGAAAGGAGTTCCAAACCCTGCCCAAACTCGTGCTGGGATGGGGCTGCTCAGGGACTCCCTGGCTGTGCTTGATCTGTGGAGATGGGCTGCTGCTAAATATAAAACTGACATGCTGAAACAGATGCTGCAGCGTCCCACAACAGCAGCTTTGTTCTTCAAAATCAGCTCTTTGCTCTCGGAGGTGAAAAGCCTCTGGTGTGCCAGTGCAGGATAAAAACCTAGAGAACAACAAGAAGGAAAAAAAAAAATAAAGATGGGTTTTGGCAGCCTTGGACCTAACAGCTTTCCTGAAGATTGTTGGGTGCAACTGCTGCCTGCAGCCTGCTTTCGAGGGTATTTAAGGAAAAAGAGAATAGAGTTGGTGATGAACAGCCAAGCGTTTGTTTTTCTTCTTGGTGCCTATGCTGGCATTCAGAAGATTCCTCTGAGGCATGTAGTGAAAGTCTGGAATTTAAGTAGTATTTTGTGAGGCCTCAGCCATATCCAGGGAAATTATTTCGTGGGGCTGGTTTCACTAGACGGATCTCCCGAGACTGGAGATGATGGCTGTAAGGAGTCTTAGCAGTGATTATTACCATGGATAAATTCAACAAAATTAAAGCTTGGCAAAGGTCAAAATTCCTCCTCCCAAGTCTCTAATCCCTGCAGCGTCCTGTAAGTATAAGATAGTTGTCAGAAATGAAGTCATGTCAGCCCCAGCCTAGCCTGAGCAAGCTTAGGGAAATGACTGCCATTATGTGTTTGAAAAGGCAGAAATTAAGTCCGAATTTGCACACAAAGTGAAAGGAGTTCCTGGTGAGGTGGCTTTGGATGGGGTGAGGGGAGGGAAGTGACCAGTCTGTCTGTGCCAGGTCTCTCAGCAGTGTCTCACACTTTGCTCCTCTTTCCTTGGCACTGCTGCTGTGGGGTGTGCTGGGGGCTGAGGCTGTGCCACTGCCCTGCTCTTACTCTGCTCCTTGGCACTGTGCTGGCCTGTGCCAGCTGGCACTGGGCACCTTTGGGGCAGTTTTGGTTCCCTCTGCCCTCCCAGCACTTTTATCCTTACACCCTTGACGAGCCCATTGCCCTGGAGCCTGCCATGCGTGTCCTCGTGCTGGAAAACACTTCCTGCTATAAATGTGTGTTTTGGCCAGCCTTCTAAACTGCTTCCCCCATCCCAATCCCACAGAATAGTTGTTACATCTTCGGGCCGTGAGGCCACCACACAAAGGTGACCCAGGGCTGTCTGTAATGGGGTGTTGGACACAGTTTTCCCTCTTGGCCTCTGGGCCAGTGAGGTGTCACTGCTCCATGGAGTCACCTAATGGATTCTCCTAGCCAGGAGTGAAGTTTCTGCCCAGATCCTTGTTGTCAGGCCTCACAAGACTTTGGGGTTCTGTTTGCCAGTGGTTTGGGGAGTTTTTTCCCACTTTTTGGTAAGCTGTAGCTGGGATATCTGCCTGTTTCTTTAGTCTCAGCTGCCCTGGTGCTAGAAGTGCTGGAAGGGCCTGGTGATCACTGGTGGGTGACTTTTGACTGGTTTAGTTCCAGAAGAGGGTGAGTCTGAGAGCACAGCCACGGCCCTGTGCCCTGGTGTTTGGTTCCCAAATCCAGCCATCATTCCATGGCATGCTCAGCTGCATTTGTGAGCACCACCCTGGTTTCTGTAAGTTAAATTTGCTGCAGGTTCTCACTAGCTGTGCTTTCTGGGCTGTCCTGGAAAAATGCATCCCAGAAAGAAGATGCCAGAATCATGGCTGCACGTGTTTTGTTCAAATGCTCATCCATGGGTTCTTTGCAAGTACGTGGTTTACATTAAAGTGAAAAACACAACACACCAAAAACAGGGAGGAAAATCTCTCCCCGTCCAAATTTAAACCTCCAGTTGAACGGTGGGAGTCACTCTGCCGTAATGGAAGGGAGCTTTTTCCCATGGAGAGACAATTCTGTTCAATATGCACAAGTGATTAGTGCTCCCAGGGTGGCTCTGGGGCACCCACGCAGCAGTTCTGCTTTTCCCAGCACTGTGCCATTGAGGGCTCAGCTCTGCCGAGCCAGGCTTCCCGGAGAGCTCTGCTGGGATCTCTCTGGCTTTTGGAGCTGATGGGGTGTGGGTGGAAAGGCCTTAATTGGCTGCCATTTGCTCCCATTTTTCCTGGAAGGGAGGGAGCACCGCTTGGATACAGCTTGTTCTGACTGTGGGTTGTGAGATCCCCGGGATCCTGCAGCCTGTTTTGTGGGATCCACATTTTGTTTAGCGGCCCTGTTGTGTCCTGGGGCAGCTAAACATCTGCCTGCAGGAGACTCCCTCCTCCTCCTTCTCCTGGTAGACGTTCAGGGATAAATGTACCCCATGCTCGCCTGCTGTTATGAGCCCTAATTGACATTTCAAGGAGGGAATTTCCCGGAGCAGCTGTGGCTGCCCCTGCATCCCTGAAAGTGTCCAAGGTCAGGCTGGACAGGGCTTGGAGCAGCCTGGGACAGTGGAAGGTGTCCCTGCCATGGCAGGGGTGGAATGAGGTGGGCTTTAAGGTCTCCTCCCAACCCAGCCGTGATTCTGTGAATTAAGGGATGAAAACCTTGAGGTGTGGTTTTGTGCCCCTTCCAAGCCTGTCTTGCCACCTCCTTATTCCATATTCCTTGTGAAGCCGAGTGGGGGGGAAGGAACAAACTTCCTGCCTGACTCACTTGGAAGCTGTGCTGGCTTCAGCACCAGCCCCAGGCCATGTCCTTGGCCTGTTAAATCCCCTTTTGTCCAATTTGCACATTTATTACTATTTTCAGGCCTCTCTAGGTAGCCTGCAGGAATCTGGGATCTCAAATGTAAAAAAAAAAAAAAAAATAAAAATCCTGCATTAAAATTTTTGCAGAATATGCAGGAGATGAAACCAAGTGGGTTTGTGGGAATTAGATCAGGATGTACAGAGAAACCAGTCTAAAATGAGACAATCTTTCCAGTTGATATTATTTTTTTACTGTCTCAGGGAATTTTGTAACTGGTTACAGTGTTCCATTATGTTCTGTAGGATGGCTAAACTCCAGAGAGCTGACACTTGCTTTTAAGTCCTGTCAAACTTTGCCACAAAATCATTTTGTGGTTTACAGGATATAATCCCAAAATGGAAGAGGACTACACTGGGTCAGTCCCACGGAAGCACCATCCAGCCCAGTACCTGGTTCCCCAAATAGTAACTGCTCAGAAAAAGAGTTTGGGGTGAATTTTCCCTCAGGGCATTTTTCCCAAAGCCAGCAGGTTACAGCTTGGAGCCTTCCTGTGCAAGGATTGCATCCAAGGCTCTCAAGTTGACCTGTCCCCCATGGATTCTCTTCTCTGAAATCATTTTCTGCTTCTGGCTTCCACTGCATCCTGTTCACTCTCTGCAGAGCACTTGTGGCCTTCCAGCCTGCTCTTCCAGCCCTCCTCAGCCATGTCTTTTCCAGGCAGAGCATCTTCAGCAGCTGGAGCTCTGCTCCTCTGAAGGAATGCTGCCTGTAGTCTGGAAAATGTGGCTATTTCCAGCCCAGGTGTGATTCCTAGTCAGATGGACCCTTAATCTGAGCTGTTTGACTGCAGATGGAATCGAGGAAGGAAATGAAGACAGAGTTGCACGGATTCAGTGATGATTGCTGGCACCCAGGTTAGTGAGCAGCTGAAAGCAGGGTGCTGCTGCTTGGCAGCTGCACTGTGGGCTCACTGATCCAGTCCCTTTCTGACAGAGGCTGTTCCCAAGGGCTCAGGTGTAGCCCGAGCCACATTCCCAATCCCAAAAGCTGGGAATGGGAGTCTTTGGCTCGGCTGGATCCCACTGAGGAGCAGGGCTCAGCTGGTCAGCCTGCTGAGCCTCCAGGCAAAACCAAATATCTGTGCCTTCAGCGCCAGCCCCCAGGGCTGGGAAGGGATGGGGGAAACAGGAACCACTGGTTTTGGGGCAGCCCAGCTTTGCACCAGGGCAAACTGCTCGGGATCCACATCTTGGGTCCTGCGTGGCAGCTCAGAATGACCAGAGCCCTGGAATGTCGGGACCAAAGGAGCTGTTTATAGCCTGGCTGACTGGAAGTGGATTCAGTGAGGAAGAGAGAGGGATTCAGTGGGACAGAGAGCTCCAGAGCCAGACTCAGAGGTCTTTCCTGCCCTGTCACCCAGATGGAGGAGATTAGATCAGGTATTTCCTAGTCGGGATAGTTTAAAGCAAATAGTCACTCCCTTCAGAGCACACAGCTCTGCCCCAGTGCTGTC